CCATTCTGTGTCTTTTTTTTCTTTTTTATTATATGTTACTGATTGTTATTACAGTTGTCCCAATTTTTCCTCCTTTACCCCCTTCACCCAGCACCCCCCAGTCCCTCAGGCAATCCCCACACCATTGTTCATGTCCGTGGGTCATGTGTATAAGTTCTGTGGCTACTCCATTTCCTACACTGTACTCTACATCCCCATGGCTATTCTGTAACTACCTGTTTATACTTCTTAATCCCCTCACATCTTCACCCATTTACCCACACCCCTCTCCCACTAGGCAACCATGAAAATGCTCTATGTATCCATGATTCTGTCTCTGTTCTTCTCATTTGCTTAGTTTGTTTTTTAGATTCAGTTGTTAACAGTTATGTATTTATGACCATTTTATGGTAGATAACTAACTTCTCTCTTGCCGCTTTTAAGATTCCCTCTTTATCTTTAACCTTTGGCATTTTAATTACTGTGTGTGTTGGAATGTGCATCTTTGCATCCATCTTGTTTGGGCCTCTCTGTGCTTCTTGGACTTGCATGTCTATTTCCTTCACCAAATTAGGAAAGTTTTCTTTCATTATTTTTTCAAATAGATTTCCAATTTACTACTCTTTCCCTTCTCCTTCTGGCACCTCTGTGATGCAAATGTTGGACTTCTTGAAATTGTCCCAGAGGCTGCTTATAGTATCCTTACTTTTTTTTATTTTTTTCTTCTTGTTGTTCTGATTGATTGTTTTTTTTTGGTTCCTTGCATTCCATATCATTGATTTGGTTCTCAGCTTTATACTGTACTATTGTTTCTCTAAATTGGTCTTTATTCCAATTAGTGTATCATTTCTTTGTAACTTAATCTTTTTCATGCTGTTGAGGTCCTCACTAAGTTCCTTGAGCATCCTTGTAACCAGGGTTTTGATCTCTTCATCTGATAGATTGCTTATCTCCATTTTGTTTCATTCTTTTTCTGGAGTTTTGATATGTTCTTTCATTTGGGCCATGTTTCTTTATCTCCTCATTTTGGCAGCTGCCCTCTGTTTGTTTCTATGTGTTAGGTAGAGCTGCTATGATTCCATGACTTGTTAGTGTGGCCTAATGTAGTAGGTATCCTGTAGGGTCCAGTGGCACAGCCTCCCCTATCACCCAAGCTGGGTACTCAAGGTACACCCTTTGGGTGGGCTGAGTACACCTTCCTCTTGTAGTTGAGCCTTGTTTGATTTTGGCAGGTCAATGGGAGGGATGTACCCGGGCCAGTCAGCTGCAAGGGCTATCTGTGACCACTAACCACCAACTTCCTCCCTCCATGGAGAATCAGCTATGCAGGGGCTGGGTGGTGGTGCCCCCAACGTGGCCTATAGTTGTCCACTGGGTGTGAAGGCCCTGGGTTTCCTGGGTGGTACAGGCCAAGGTCAGCCCCCACCTGTGTATTGCCTGGGGCCACCATACCTGAGCTACAGAGCAATCTGAGATGGCTGCTACTTGTTCTGGGCTGGAGATTCTCAGGTGAAGCCAAGCTCTGAGTCTAGGCTGGCTGCTGCTAGTGTCAGGCCTAGGGCCACTTAGCAAGGGGTACAGTTGCTGGGGCCTCACTGAAGCTGGCAGTTGCTTATTTGAGAGGATTTAGGAAGTTATAAAGCCTGAGCCAAGACCAGCAATTCATATGGAAAAGCCACTGTTAACAAATAAATTGGGTAGGTCAGAGACTCAGGGAATCTCCAGAGTAGGGTAAACAGTGTTAGCCAGTTTGATGGAGTCTCAGATATGGCACCTGCCTGCTGGCTCTGTGGCTCTGAGCAGGGAGGGCTCAGCAAAGGGTAATGGCCTCTGCCTACCTCTCTGTCGGGAAGGATGCTGTCCCCCAGCTCTCACCTTGATGCCAGACACTTCACTTCCTCCCCATATTCCACTGGTGCCTTTCAAGCTGCTACCTGGTGCTAGAGCTCAGAGGTAGTGAGTCTGAGTAAGTTAGTTTGTGGGTTCTTTAAGAGGAACTGCTTCAGACTCCAGCAGTTTCTTCCCCCAATTCAATCCTTGCTGGTTTTTGCAGCCAGAAGTTATGGGGACTTATCTTCCTGGCCCTGGCACCCTGGTCTGCGGGCCTGGTGTGGGTCTAGGACTCCTTGCTCCTGAGATAGCCCTCCTAAATTTTTATCTATCACACATCAGTGAGGGACAAGCCTGTTCCGTGTCTCCGCCTCTCCCACCAGTCTAGATGGATGTGGCTTCTTTAATTCCGTAGTTGTCAGACTTCCATTCAACTCAATTTCTGCTGGTTCTGAGTGATGGTTATTCTATCATTTAGTTGTAATTCTGACGTGGTTATGTAAGGAGACAAGCCATGTTTACTTACATCTCCATCTTGATCAGAAGTCGCCATGTCATTTGGTTCTCCCTGTGCATGAGAAGGGGGAGACAGAGGTTAACACGCCCATAAGTGCATCCCAAGGCCATACTCACTCTCTCAACAGCAATTCCCTGTTGATGCTCAAGTCAGTCTTGACCGTCAAGTAAGGACAGTATAAGCAGCCTCTGGGACAACTTCAAGAGGTCCAACATTTGCATCATAGGGCTGCCAGAAGAGCAAGGGAAACAGCATTTCTGCTGACCAGTCAGTCCATGGGCCACAGAGAACACCTTGTGCCCCAAGCCAGTACCCACACCTGCAGCCTCCCTGCTGTACAGTATGGGGACTGGGCCACTGTGCGGTAGGATCAGCCCCTGCAGTAAAAGAGAACATCAGACCTGGCATGAGATGTGACCGGCTTCCATTGCTCACCTTTCTGAAGTTTTAAGGCCTCTTGTGCCTAGGTTTCCTCAGCAAAATATCACCTAGCCCTGCATTGGATGCTAGAAAGGGGGTTGGGGGACTAACACCCATTCCATGCCCTCACGCAGCCCCCAGCCTGGAGGGAAGAGGATGCACGCCTGACTGCGCACAGCCTCCTTTATAGACTCGGGGAGGAACAGGAAGGAGAGCCCGTGACATTGGGCCTGGCTGCGTTCAGTTGTGCAGTATCCCACCCAGACCTGCTGGAAGCCTTAGGGGCCCCTCTCAAGAGCCACCAGGTGCTACAAGCTGTCAGATATAGCGAGGCAGGCCTGCAGCCCACCTGCAGGGCTCCCAGACTCCCTTTGCCTGCTGTGGGGCTCGGCTATAGCTCCCTGAGAAGGGAAGGGCTGTTCCCAAAGCCCAGGCCTGAGAGGGGCTATCATTCTCACCGACAGGTGGAAGGCACATGTCACATTGAGATAATTGTCTTTGAACTGTTCACATCTTATTTTTAAAAATTAGATTAATACAGGGTTGTGGCCTTCTGAGAGGTAGGTTCTCCACTCGCCTGTGCAAGCCAGGCTTCCACCCCACGGACATCCTGTTGGAACCAGCTCCATGGAAGTGTGTTAGCTCTTTACCCACTTGGATCTGCACGTTGGCACCACACTGCTTAGTGAGAACACAGGGGAATACAGCCACACCTCCTTAACGAATTGTCTTCATCAAAGTCAGCAACTTTAGAAAACAACAAATTCCATCTATCATCTTGTGTTTGCAGTGTGACCAACTCAGTGTGACCGTCCTGCCTGTTTGTCCTTCCCCAGGAGAGCGAGCGGGAGGGAAGGGTAGCCAGCCCACCAGCCCAGAGTCCCGAGGGCTCTTTCTGTCCTCACCCTCCCCTCCACAGAGTCCAGGCCATGTCATGCCCTCCACCCCGCTGCACATTGAAATCGAGTGTGTTTAGACTTCCTGCCTCAATACCTGTAGTTGCCAAGTTTCTGACCAAGAAGCGTGGCTTATTCCTTGTGATTAAAGCATAGGCTGTACCGCTGACCCTGCCTGGGATCAAGCTGTGATCTCTCTTCCATGATTCTTCTCCCTTTTTATCCTCTTCTCCCTCACTTCCCCTTCAGGTGTGTATTGTGTCCTCTGTCTCTCTGAAAAGACAGCAGGCTACATCGAATCATGTGTTTCCTGTTGCTGCTATAACAAACTGTCATGGACTTGGTGGCTTAAAACAGCAAATACTTATCATCCGACCATGGTGGAGGTCAGAATCCAGAATGGGTCTTACTGGGCTGAAATGAAGTGTTGGCAGAGTTGTCTTAGAAACTCCAGGGGAGAATGGTTTCTTTGCCTTCTCCAGCTTCCTGGGGTTGCCTGTTTGCCTCGGCCTCAGTCCCGGTCCCTACATCGTTCTCACCCCTGCTTCTGCCTCGTGTCCTCTCCCACCCTCGCACCCCTGCCCGCCTCTCTCATAGAAGGACCTGGATCCGCTTAGATGATCCAGGAGAAGCTTCCCAGCTCGATCCCTGACTTAGTCACATCTGCGACACCCCTTTTACCATGTGATCTACTGCAGTCACGAGTTCCGGGAATCAGGATGTGGGCATCTTTGGGGGTCATTATTGTGCCATATTTGTTTAAGACAAGACTGGTAAAAAGTGGTTTTGTGTTTTTTTTTTGTCATTGAATTTGGTACAAAAATGTGGAAAGTGGTCCAAAGGAGGAACAAAAAGTATTTCCCTCTGACTTCTCCAAGTGGGTGCTGCTGGCTGGGGATAAAATTCTCAGTGACTGCATCAAACGTGGGTCCAAAACGGATGTCTCTCCTGAGACTTGTGCGCTCAGAAGTGACGCTGGGATGCAGGTCCATGCCCCAAATCCGCTTCAGACACAAACAAGTCAAACCTTCATCGTTTTCTATTTTATTGTAGTAAATTATTTCAGACTGACATTAGCAAAAACTTGAGTCCATAGCACATTCCAAATGAGGAACAGTATATATAACCAGAATTTAGTAGAAATAAATCTAGTGGTATCGTCAAATTCACGGAAACTGTGGGGCACCAATTGGCATGGTGTTGTATGAATCAAGGGACAAGGCAGGAGCGGGGCCGAGATTGCTTTCTGTAATGACAGTTATCACTGAGTTCAAAGCTGTTTTTAGGAGGCCTTAACAAATGTTTCCTTCTCTTTCCTTCTCAAATGGCTGTGTCCTGACCCACTCCTCTCGCTCCAGGATTTGCGCAAGCAGGTAGCGCCGCTGCTGAAGAGCTTCCAAGGGGAGGTAAGCGTTTGTATTTATTTGTGTCCCAAGCCACCCTTCTTAGTTTATCGCGCTTTCTTTTATTCTCATTAAGTAAATGCCATTAACAGAAGGTGCTTACCCAGATGGAGCCTCCCCAGCTGCACCCACCCAATGCCGTGCTGATTTTGCACTTCCCAGTGTGTCGTGGCCACTGGGTGGGCAGAGCTTGTTTAGACTGCGGCCCCCAAGAGCCCCTGGGCCCCCTCAGGCTCTCTGGCCCCCTGCTCGCCTGGGGCCACTGCTGCCAGGGGACCTCCTGTGCTGTGCTTTCAGGGGCAGCTGTTGGGGGGAAGAGGAATTTCATTTGATTGAGGTTTGAACAAAGAACAACAGGCAGAAGTCTCAAGGGGTAAGTTTGGACTCAGTGTAGGGAAAAGTTTTCTAACACACCCTTCCAGGGAAGGACAGGGCGGGCTGGTGGGCCGGCTGCCCCTCACCTGGGATGTGTGCCCTGGCCACCGTAGAGTTACATCCGTGAGAAGGACGGGCAGTGGAGGTGGGTGACACCCCAGCTCCTTCTCAGCCCTTTGTGCAGAGACTTGGTGGGCCTTGGAAAGCCAGAAATTTTGTTACTGTTTGGTGTGGAGTTACTCACTTGGCCCTCAGCTTCTCCTGTTGCAATGATGAAAATAGTAACAATGCTGAAGAAAGGAAGCGAGACTTTAAAAGTCCTCTAGAGACCTGGGTCGGTAGAACCGTAGAGATTCATGGAGAACAGGGGCAAGGACAGGAGTCAGAGAGGTGAGATGGCCCGTTCGGGAGTGACGTGGGCTACAAAGTGCCTCCTGGAACACACACATTGCTAAGGGGGCAGGAATCCTGGGCCCAGAGCGCCACAGTATGAGGTGAGGGCCACTGTTTGGCAAATCCTTTAGCATGTGGGCCACAGCAGAGGGTGAGGGGAGGGATGAGGTTAGTCAGGAGGACGGTGAGAGAGGAGATTCCAGGGCAGTGAGGGGCTCTCGTAGGAAGCTGAAGCTGCAGGGGCTGCTGGTGATGGTGAAGGTTTTAGAATAGCACAGTGGCGCTATCCTCCCTGTGCATGACGCCCTGCGTAGGGAGCCCCCTGGACTTAGCTCCCTGAGGCACAGAGGACATGGATATCCCAGGCCTGGGAAGGACATTAGTTGCCTCTTCCTCAGAAGTCCATCTCCCAACCCTCATTCTGTGGAGTGAAACTGTCACCTTACACCTGCCCACATTTGATTTGATCTCTTTCTTTTGCCTGTTCAGCAGCTTTCGTGAGGCCTGCTGGCTTAGTGTTTCTCTAGCTGAAATAGCTCAGTGTGCTGTTTCTGTTGTTTGCTTGTTTTTCTTTCTGTTCGGAAAGTTTCAAATCTATATAAAAATAGAAAGATTACTATGATGAACCACCTGTACACCCTGTGACCAGACTCACCACTTGCTAACGTTTTGCCACATCGGCTCCCACCCTGGTGTTAGACACCAGAGAGAGAGTAGCAGGCAGCTCGGCACTGTGCCCTTAAACATGCATGTGCATCTCCTAAAATTGAGGACGCTCCCCAACATTTTCACAGCAACTCCGAGTATCACACCTGGGAAAATGAACATTAATTCCATGATATATAATATTCAGCCCAAAAATCAAATTTCCCCAGTTATCCCCAAATTGCATCTTATAACTGCCTTGCCCCCACCCAGGTTCAGTCAGGTGCATGCATTGCATTTGGGGGGTGTGTGTGTGTGTGTGTGTGTGTATCTCCATTCCCTCTCACCTTTGTTATTGTTTTCATTACATTGAGTTTTATGTTGTTTTTTTTTTTGAAGACTTTATTTAGTTTTAGAGAGGGAAAAGGAGGGAGAAAGAGAGGGAGAAAAACATCAGTGTGTGGTTGCCTCTCACAAGCCCCCACTGGGGACCTGGCCCACAACCCAGGCATGTGCTCTGACTAGGAATCGAACCTGTGACCCTTTGGTTCATGGGCCAGTACTCAATCCACTGAGTTACACCAGCCAGGGCTGTGTAGGGGTGGGGTTTTTTTATTTGTTTGTTTGTTTTGGGTTTTTTTGAGAATCTAAGTTATCTTAGACATTATCTCACACTCTGGATAGGGTGATAGGTTTGGTTCTGGATATATGAAATTTGAAATGCCTGAGAAGCAGCTAGGCTTCCTATTTTGCCCGTTTTTTAAAAGGCTATTCATGAAGTAAATATTTTTATATACCATTAATTAATATTTACCAAGTCTTTGCTAATTCCCATATTTAGTAAGTAATTTCTGCTTACTAGTAAGCTGATTTCAGTAGAAGGGACTAAGTCCTCCTTGTTTCTGAAGAACGCGCTTCATAGCAGAGGGCAGCCGCAGACGGACCGCCCACGTGCGGGCGGTGTTCTGCTGAGGGGGGCCGGGAGGCGGCACATTCTCTGTGCTCCGATGGGCAAGATCCACTCAACTTGTTTTCCTATAACACACCTTCTCTAATCAGACGTGTGTTCTCGTACCCTTCCCTAGTGTTTACTGAACACAATTTTATTTATCAGATACGTATTTTTAAGTTCATCCCAAGGTGCTTGAGTTCCCCTTGGAAAAATGTATGGTATTAGTGAACATGTGTTCTTTGCCTCAGAATTCGTATAGATTACTTGTCTATTTGAGATCCCCAAAAAGGAATAAACAAACAAACAAACAAACAGTTTTCAGGCAGATAGATATTTCCATAGGTCTTTAACATCCCTGCAGTGACATGCCTTTTTAGTATGTTTTAATGTCGTGGGAAACATTGACATCGCCGGGTGCCACTTACGCCCCTCAGTGTTTTCTTGCGGTTCTCAGGGTAGATCCAGACGCCTTCCTTCCTGTGGTTTAGGAGACCCGGTGATCTAGCTGCTTACCTTTGTCAACTGGTCTCACTGCTCACCGCCCAACACTGGACGCACAGCCAGTCTGCATTTCTTCCAGGCCCTTATGCCTTGGGTGTGCTCGCCGGCCTCCCAGCCTTTGCACGGGCCAGCCTCTTCCTCAGACACTCCTTCCTCCTCTCACTTCACCTGGCTCACTTCTGCTTGGTGTCACTTCCCCAGGAAGGGTCTCCGCTGAGCCCCAGTGATAGGCCAGGTCCCTGTACCGTGTGATCCCACTGCACCCCCCATTGTTTGCAACGTATTTGTCACCGTGCCTGAGAGCTGCCTGTGACTTTGTTTCTGTTCCCCATGAGTCTGTACGTGTGTGAAGGCAACCTCTGTGCCCTGCCTTGTGGGCCCTGTGCATTCCTGGCGCCTGGCATGTCCACTGGAACTAAAGTGTTTGGGCTCTTAAAAATAGTTATTGAGTAAATGCTTGAGCAGTGAGGTTCCTCTGGAGGCAGTTTTTAAAACATTTGCCTCTGTCCTTTCTCCAGCATATGTTGCTATTAATAAGGTGACAAGGACCCCAGAATATATGCTTGGGAAATACCTTAGAAAAAATAGTAGATGACTATATTTGTTGTCCTTGATTGAAAAGTTTGGAATACTATAATTGTAACAGTTACTCATAATTGTAATAGCAAAGTCCTCAAATTTAACTCCCACTGAAATTAGATTTGCGGCGTATTTATTTCTCTATCTAAGCTAATGTGCTGCACAAGCCCAGCCGACTGATTAGTGGGAGCAGGGGAAGTAACCTAAATGACCAATCCAATTTGAGGCATATTTTAGTTTAGTGAAATGACACTCCCACTCCCTAGAAAAATGTTAAATCTTTCAAATTATTTCACTGTCTCCTGGCTTCTCTCCCCTAGGAGGATCATACTATATCAGGTTGAGGGGTAAGGAGTTGGCGTAGGCCCCACTCCTCTTGGTAGGGGTGCTGGCAGCCTAAACCAGGTATCCTCCGGGAGGAAAATCCTCTTAAATAGCTTAGGCGCTTATATCAGAGGGGAAATAAAGGCTGAAAATTCATGAGCTTAGCATCCAGTTTAAATAGTTGTAAAAGTACAACAAAATAACCTCAACGAAAATAGGAAGATGGAACCAATCAAAATAATTAATAACAAAAATGTATGAGAATAAAAATGAATGAGAAAGAAAACAAAGACCTGAGAAACAACCCAAAAGCTAATTCATTGCAAAGATTACTACAATACACAAACTGCCTCCCTAATAAAGAAAAAAATGATTAGGAATGATAATAGTGATAACTTTGCAGCTATAGCAAATAAAAAGATAGGGGAATATTATAATCAATTTTATGCCAATTTAATTAAAAACCTAGACAAAATGGACAGATTTCTAGAATACTGTATCCTATCAAAGCTGATTAAAGAAGAGGTAGAAAACCTGAATGGCCTTACACCTGTTACAGAAATATTTCTACAAGGTCTAGATATTTTTATGGGGAGTTCTGTCAGTCATTCATGAAATAGTTCTAATCTTTTGCAAGCTCCTTCAGAAAATAGAAAAAGAGAACAATTTCTAACTCATTTTATGGAGCTAGTTTAACCTTGATGTCAAAATCATATAAGAACAGTAAAAGAAAGGAATATTAAAGATTTTATTTATTTATTTTTAGAGAGAGGGGAAGGGAGGGAGAAAGAGAGGTAGAGAAACATCAGTATGTGGTTGCCTCTTGCGTACCCCCTATTGGGGACCTGGCCCATAACCCAGGTATGTGCCCTGACTGGGATTGAACCGGCCACCCTTTGGTTCATAGGCCGGCACTCAATCCACTGAGCCACATCAGCCAGGGCAAAGGAAGGAATATTGAAGTAGTCTAATTTATGAATAGATATACGGAAGTCCTTTAAAAGGTATTAGTAAATTGAATCTATCAAGCTCTGTGTATCCCAAGGATGTTTTTTGTTTTAATATTAGAAAAGTGTATTAATGCAAATTAACCTCATTAACAGATTAAAGAAGAAAATACTATCTCAATAGTTATAGGAAAAGAATTTTATAAAACTCAATATTCATTCATGATTAAAAAATTATCAGCAAATTAGGAATAGAAGAGAACTTCTTTAAGCTGGGTAAAGGTATT